ATATAATATATATGTATATATGTGTATATTATATATATATATGATTTATTTTATTTAGGACTTGTGCATTTTTCTGAGGTCTGTTAGTGATAGGCCAGAGCAAACTAGTGGAAACTTTCGCTGGAAAAAAGTCTTTAGGAAGGCTTGCTAGATGATAGTCTCTTGGTAAAGGAGTGCCAGCCCTGTTTTTGCAGAATGGAACATCATGGCTGAGAGTTTAAGTAAGTTGTTCAGGGCAGTAGCATTAGCAGCAAAGTAGGGTAAGGGCGTATTTCTCATGGTCCAAACAGGAGGAACCTCTGGAAGCTTAAATAAAAGCTGAGATCCTGGTTTGATTGGGATAATTTCCAATCTTCTTGTAAATGCCAAAGCAGTGGAGAGATGCAGCCCCTCCAGGATAGTGTGACTACACTTCCTGATCGGGCAATAACAGTAAACAGAACACTTGCTGCCGTTAAAGAGGAGACCTGGCATAAGGCCCAGGAAAGAAGACTTTGCTTCATAGTAGTTTAGCAGTCCTATCAGCTAGACTAGGCTTATGGGAGGCACTGTTGGACTTAACTATATGCAAACAGACACTACCATAGGTATAGGCATATGTGGTGACCTCCTCTAGCAGCCAGTTCTTCCCTATAAACTGTAATGTTCCCTGTGATCTATCTAATTGCAACAATAAGGCTGCACTTTCTTCCCCCAGTTCTTCTTAGTCCCCACTGTTCTACTTTGACCTTGACATCTCACCACCTCTCCTCTCCAATTGCTCCTACCATTGCAAAACAATTATATGCTACTGTGAGTAAAGAATATGGATGTTTGAAATTCATTTGGCAGATTATTTGCTTTATAAAGTAAGACCAGCCCTAAATCCGTTACCATCGAGTTGATTCCAACTCATAGTGATCCTGCAAGACAGAACAGCGCTGCCCCACAGGATTTCCAAGGCTGTAATCTTTACAGAAGCAGACGGCCACATCTTTCTCCGGTGGAGCGGCTGGTGGATTCCAACTGCCAACCTTTCCGTCAGCAGCCGAATTCTTAACCATTACACTACCAAGGCTCCTTTAGATTAGCCTTACTTAAACAAACTACTTTAAATAAACTTGACATTAGGCTATGTAATGTGACTTGAGACGTAAGAGGAAATTCCTCCCCGCCCCCAACACGCATGCGAGTGCACACACGCCCTCGAGGGTGCGCTCGCGCGCGCGCACACACAGACACACAGACACACACAACCCCAGTGGCTTCTTACATTGTTTGAAATTTAATCATCATGGATATAGATTGCTTTGGTTAATCATTTGCCTTATTTAACCTTATTTAAAATGCAAATGTAACCAAGATCAATAAACAGTAAGGCTTTATAAAAAACCCGTTCTCGTAGAGTCGATTACGACCCATATAGGCTTTTTTTTTTTTTTTTTTTTTTTTCCTCGATTAATAGTGGGAAACCCTGGTGGCATAGTGGTTAAGAGCTACAGCTGCTAACCAAAAGGTCAGCAGTTCAAATCCACCAGGCACTCCTTGGAAACTCTATGGGGCAGTTTCACCCTGTCCTATAGGATCGCTTTAAGTTGGAATCGCCTACACGGCAAAGGGTTTGGTTTTTGGTTTTTAATTAACAGTGAGGTAGAGCTTCCCAGTGGGTTACTGCTGTGACGTGAGATATCGGTGGTGGAGGATTTCTTACAATGATAAAACACTTTAAATCATTTTTTTATAATCATATAAAGACTGACAACAGTTGAAGTTTTATTTGAATATCACTTGTATACCTTCCTGCGTAAAGCTCCTGAATTCAGACATTGTTCCGGCAGGTAAGACTCTATACCCACTATTTGCCACTAGAGGGCGATTTGTCGTGGGTAGGCCCCATAGCATTTTCCCAAGATGGGCCATACAGCTATGGTCATTTTTTAAGTATGCCGTAACATGAAAAGTTCACAACTATGATTCATTTTGGCGTTTAATTTATGTAAGCAGCATCTACTATCACTTTGTCATAAAATAAAGAATATTTTTAAATAGAAAAA